GTGAGTGTCTCGTAAGTCTAATATAGTAGACTGGATGTAAGGGTGGGTGAGTGTCTCGTAAGTCTAATATAGTAGACTGGATGTAAGGGTGGGTGAGTGTCTCGTAAGTCTAATATAGTAGACTGGATGTAAGGGTGGGTGAGTGTCTCGTAAGTCTAATATAGTAGACTGGATGTAAGGGTGGGTGAGCAGACATATTTTAGAGATTGTAATACTTGTACCTTTTACATGTGACACTATAATAAAGTAATTTGAATTGAATTTGAATTCGTTAACATTGTCATACCTATAAAACATACACATTTACACTCATTCATTAGACTCTAAATTCATTTAACATTCTGTGGGTGGATTTGTTTACTCCAGACCAAATGACACAGATAGACAGACAGACAGATGATCAAAAACTAACTAAAACTTCTCCTCCGTTAGTACCATTGCGGACTAAAAAAATGTTTGTTAGCATCTGGAGCACTTGACATGTCAATTAAGGTAAATCAAATACAGAAAAAAGCAACTGTATGACATAAATAACATTAAAACACAACAGAAATAATTCACTTAGTATTCTGAGCTAGGAACAAGGAAAAAGACAAACTGTTTGTTAACCATTTCTTTTCTCATTAATGTCTGACCCTCAAGTCAATCAAAACAACGCCTACACTGTACCAAGACAGCTGTTTGTATTTTCTAGATCTATAGCTTGGTTACATTATCATAAAGGCAATTCTTTGATACTGGGTTACATCATGTGGAAATGAAATTTGTTTTTAGATTTCAAATAGCAATCTAAGGTTACGTACATCATGTGAAATTTAATTTAATTTTTATTTTTGAAATAGTTGGGTTACATTATATCTCGGGGACTTCTTTTGTTCATAATTAATTACCATGTTGAATGAAAAGTATTTGCAAAATTTTAATTTCCTCAATCTTTTGCACTATTTTTATCAAAATTTACAAAGTCACTATATATATATATATGCACACATGCTATTAAATCTTTCATCAACTGCAGTAAATTGTTATTTGATGTTTCATATACATTGGTTTTTATTTTCCAGATATTTTCCTTTATCAACCTCATGTTGTCTTTATCTCACATCGATTGTTTCTTATCCATCAAACCGAGTTATCTCACATCGATTGTTTCTTATCCATCAAACCGAGTTATCTCACATCTTAACGATCACCATATTATCCTTACAAAGCAATACATCTATCAAGGACATTTCTTGGCCCAAAAGGTAGGTTATCTTCCTCTAGAACTGTAAAACACAACACTTAACTCTTTCCATTGCCTCCCCATATTCTCGTAAGCAATTTCGACAATCTATCTGACAGATCCACAAACATTTTTAGCACCTAGATCATCACTTAAAGCTGTGTAGAGTACCAGAGTTTCTATTAGCCAGAACCAGTCCAACCTCCGCCCTTCCATTACTGGTATCTGCCCGATAATCTCACAAACAGATAAATGAAATAAAAGAACACCCCATCTTCCTCCCTCAAAACATCTTAACTGAGTGATGCACTTACACATTTACTGATATCTTGAAACTTACCAGAAGTACATTGCAACTGTATTGCAAGAACATAATGATTTACCAAGCACATACATGTGCAACTGACGAAGAACATAGGAAGCTCACCAAGTACAAAGCAATTGACCGCGTGTATATAGCAACAGACCAAGTACATAGCAACTAACCGAGTTCATAGCAACCGAACAAGGACATAGTAACCAAACGAGTTCTTAGCAACTGAACAAGGACATAGCAACCAACCGAGTTCATAGCAACCGAACAAGGACATAGTAACCAACCGAGTTCTTAGCAACTGAACAAGGACATAGCAACCGAGTTCATAGCAACCGAACAAGGACATAGCAACCAAGTTCATAGCAACCGAACAAGGACATAGCAACCAACCAAGTTCATAGCAACCAACCAAGTTCATAGTAACCGAACAAGGACATAGCAACCAATATTGTACAGTCAAACATTGATTTTCCTAACTTTGAGGTCAGGAAAATTTTGAAACATCGAGACTTAGACACACAAATGTTGAACTTCGAACATCTTTGAAACCTGCATAAGATGGAATGTGGTTGTTAAATGACAGAACACAAGGCATATTTTTTAGTTGAAAACTACTAATATTGGATTAATTGCAATTAGAAAAATAAATTTGATGAATTTGTTCACTGTAATTGGCATGTTTTTCAATGTTCTTTTTCCACTTCGCTTTATTAGTTGTAAGTTTCAACGATTTCCTAAACATCAGGCCTTGATTTAGGTCGAAACAGCGAGAATTTCGACTTATTAAAGTTTGATTTATAAATGGAATATCAGTAGTGTTATACAAGACAAAAATCCGGACTTTGCAGTAAAGTTCAACATATTTAAATGATTTTCTGAATCTTCAAAGTTCGATTTAAAGAAGTTTGCCAGTACATAGCAACTGACTTAGTGAATAGCAACTGATCCAGTACATAAAAACTGAATACAAGTATATAGCAACTGAGTTGTTATATAACCGAAGCAATTAACCAACAGAAAAACTCTTCTCAATGTCCGTATACTTATAATTCCTGGAGACTGACGACTATAGATGTCGTCGGAGTGGCTATATCCCAGCACACATATAGCAGCCTCTCTAGACATTATTCTCTGGAGACTGACGATTATAGATGTCGTCGGAGTGTCTATATCCCAGCACACATATAGCAGCCTCTCTAGACGTTGTTCTCATTAACATGATGGAAGTACTTTGGTCTCCTCCTCAAGATCTTAAGTTTACCATTGATACAAAAGGAATGTGGCTATTTTGGTCTTTGTTTAATTTCCGATTTT